ACTATTACTATCAAGGGTCGCACTGGTAAAGTGCAAATTAATGATTCGACGGGTGCGGGATACGGCAGATGATCAAGTCTTGCGAAGTCTCTGTCAAATTCTTCTGTTTGTTAGACGATTCGGCATCGATTTATTGAAAACAATGTCTGTCGATCCTGTGGCAACATTTAGCGCACTTTGTATCAAATGCCGCAGATCCCAGGATTTCCCACATTTGCACAGTTTACGAAGCAAAGCGGAATGAATTATTTTGCGCGCTGAAATAATGCTCCAAATTATTCCAGGAATTTCCTAGTTATTCCTCTAAATAGGTATGGTAGACGTTATTGAATGCCCTGAAAAACGTATTATAACTTAAGTTCTTTGACCATACTAACTGAAGTTGGAGTTATGTGTACATTTGCTCTGGGGTGAACTTCTCTGATCGCGGAACAATCTTCTTTGGGCTTCGAATTCTGCAATTATGCTCAGCATTTATCTACGTGTTCATACGATATTTCGAACACTTCGGATCTAAGCAACAGTTGCATGACCGAGACTAGCTGGGATATGCAGCTCATCGTCCTGTCTCAGGATCGAATTCAACGATGCCCCGTCCAGATTTATTCTGAACGGCAATGGAGGCGTAATGATGGCTTCGGCGCAATGTGGGACGAGCATATTTCCTGAGTAAGTCTACTTTTTTGATTCAGTTAAACAGTGACTCAATAAAAATACTAGCAAGTGTTTACGATGTATTTCATATGGCTTTTTTTTTNTTTTTTTTTGTTTGAATCGATTTCTAAGAAACGTTTCATCGTCGGTTTCATAGTCCATCCAGAACACCTCTATTCCTTGATTTTTGTGTTTATGTTGCGCAATAGATAGTGCTGCTCTATGGGGCACGTGATCACGGATGACCTCTCGTTGCAAAATACGCCATCATAAACTCCCAAACTACCCATAGAGGATAACAAATACTGACTTGGCATCACTAGACACCATGGAGTATGCATTTCATTCTGCGCTCCCAAATGAAGTGGAATGCACCGAGGGATAAATCAGCGTTGAACACGTTATTCTTCTGTTTTTCATCTCTTCGTTAATAACCTTTCTGAAAGCACATATCCAATTTGGATACACTGAGTTGTTTCGCAAAACATTATTGTGCCAGCTTTCCTGTTTTCTAGACCGTGTATCCTTGCATTTGGAACACTGTACGATGATATAGAAGCTGAATTCTGAATTGTTGTCTCATTGTGACTGCAATACATCTTTACTACACAATCTGCTCCACCTTTGGAAACAGGCGCACATTGAGATACAAGCTGGTTCGCATTCTTGAGCCCTAAATCTTCCATCCAGAGATTGCAATATTTCCTCAATTCCGTTAATTTTTAGATGTTCATATAAACCGATTTCACGATTTGTCTGGATCCTACCACTTTTTTGATACTTTTTTCGCATCCGCCATCCACGTTGATATCGATTTCGTATTTCTTCCCAAGTGAATTTGTAGGTGATGGGTTCCATTACCGTTACAATCGTCAATGTAGTCGAGGTGCAACGTCGTCACCAGAATTTCCGTCGCGATGGGCGAACGTCTCGTCTATGTTCCCTATGGATCGCACCATTTCGGTAGAATAACGCCACCCTCACCACCACCGTATGGACATAACTCTGTGTCTTCCAAACAATATGGTATGTTTTAGTACCTCACCAATGGCAAATAAGTAAGAAATAGACAAATAGATAAGCAAATAAAAAGATCAATACATGAACAAACAAATAAATAAAAAAAATGAAAAATAAAAGAATAAATGACGAAATGAATAACAGAAGAAATAAAGAAATAAAAATTAAAAACAAAAAATTATAGGAATAAAAAATTAAGAAACAAATAAAAAGTAGAGAAAAGTAAAAAATGAGAACTAATAAAAATGCAAAGATGAAGGATAAAAAATAAGCAAATAAGAGACAAAGAACTGGAATCCTCTCCAAAGAAGCACTCTACATATCGATAAATGCGCACTAGGTCTACTCACATAACGAATCGTAGTTGCTGCATGGAATGAGGTTACCAAACCTCCAATCACCAGCTATATACGTCAACGATTAAATGCATCACATTTCAAGTGGGTTTACACATGTCTATTTATCATGTGAAGATTTTGCAATCCCATATAAAAACCACATCGCACCATAGTTGTTCGGAAATTTAAGTTCTACAAAGATTTATTTGACGAAAAATAAATATGACATAGATCCACACTTATCCGAGGCGCACTTACTCATGACAGATGTGTGGTGTCGTTTGAAATGTTCTGGTACAAAAAGCACCGAATGAACAGAACACTGGCCGCGAACCAGCCTTTTTAAGCTCTCAGTAATGTGACTGTGTGATGAGCTATAATAACGTAACGGGTTCACCCTTTCACAACGATGCCTATTGACTTCGACATGCAGGCATTTCCACGTATAGGACCATACATCTTGATTTCAAGGCGCTGGATTTCTTCTGATGTGTTTAGCCGCACAAAGTTTTCCTGGCAGACTTATTGCAGTAAATCGTCAGCACGTAGAACATAATGAATAGTTAGTAAAAATAGAATATAAATGAAAACAAACGAATACTAAATAAAACTTAAGAGGAAATCAAATAAAAACAAATAAAAATTAAACCGAAAATTTATTGAAAGAGTAAAAAACTGGATAAACGTCTGAGAAATTGAATGAAAATTAAATGAAAATAAATAAAAACTAAGTGGAAATTAAATAACAATTAATTCAAATGGATCAAAGAATAAACAGAAATAAGTAAAATTAGGATGGAAAAAGCGAGAATTAAATGGGAATTGAATAAACATAAATAAGGAATGATTAAAAATCAAAAAAATAAACAAAAATTGAACAAAAGTGGATAGAAATTAGATAAAAAATAAATAAGAAGTGAACGAAAATCGAATGAAAATTGCATCGAAAGGAAATAAGAGTCAAACAAAATTTAAATAAGGAATAATTTGAAGTGAAACAAAAATGATTCAGGCTTAAATAAATATAAAGGTTGAATAAAAATTAGGTGTAAATTAAGTGAAAATTAAACGAAACTAAATAAGATGTGAATAATGTCTAAATAAAAACAAATAAAATTTAAATAAAAATCGTATTAAAAATAAATAAAAATCAGACAAGTATTCACTAAGAATTTAATAAAAGTGATGTAAAAATATATAAAAACAAGTAAGGATTGAATTGAAAGTAGGTAGAAATAAATGAGATATCCGTGAAAACAAGAAAAAATAAAACATAAAAAAGGAGCAAAAAAACAAGAGAAATTTTAAAAAATCGAATAAAAAATAAACAATAGCAAATAAAAAGTAAATTATTACTGAATAAAAATTGAATAAAAACCAGATACAAATAAAATAGATTCAATAAATATTTACAAAAGGTTCAATAAAAAGTAAACAAAAATAAATACAAAAGTTTAAAAACGTGCAGGAAAATAAATAGACAATGAGTTAAATTTAAATGAAAGCGAATAAGAAAATTAAAGCAAATAGAAATTAAATAAAAATGAATAAAAATAGCAAAAAATGGGTAAAAATTAAGCAAAAATAATTAAAAATTGAATAAAAAATAAAAGAGGTCTAAATAAAAACAAATTAAAAATCACTTAAGGTAAATTAGAATTAAATTTGATATAAATTAAAACTAAATTAGATTTAAATAAAAACAAAAATAATCAAAAGAAGTTAAAATATGTAAAAACTAAATAAACAAATATTATGTAAAATGTGAATAAAAGCAAACTAAAACGACTGAAAATAGATACAATTTAAATAAAATAAACAGCAAATAAATAAAAATTAGTTAAGAGCAAATAAAAACTAATGAACACCTGCATTTCATATTAGAATATTTTTATTATTCGGTGGAAAAAAAGGTTAAAGCACTAATGAGGATGAAAGTTTTAACTAGACGCCACATTGAGCAGAAAGGGCACTCACCGTGACGTTATGTGCGAGACTGGCCCAAACGTAGTTCACGTAGAGTCGCGAGCAAGACACGCCCGGGGTCAAAATATCATTTTGAAATAGGGCACCAGGTCACGCGTGATAGTGAGGCATTCGTCCTGCCGGTTCATCTTTGGATTTTTGAAATTTATCTAAAACGCCTCAAGAGTTTTGCGCGTTGATGTTTTTGATTCCTGCATTAGGATCCGCACATTCACTTCAAAATCATCGCCGTTGTGCTTTTGTGCCCTATGCGTACCTAGAGGGGTGTTTAGACGGATTTTAGCTTTTTCATCTAGATGTTCTTTTATGCGGACACAAAGTGGTCTACCCGTTTCCCCGATATATTCTTCGCCGCATGCACTACATGAGATCAAGTATATTATACCTAAACTCATGCAATCCCCGTCTCTCCCGTTAGGACAGAACGTACAGTTTTCTGAGCGGCACAAACGATCATAGAGACGGTTTCGAACTAACTTGCAGTGTCGGGTATTGGGTGGGATGCCAATAATCGTTACGTAATTTTCAAGACCACTTTTTCTTAAGCACTTTTTAATGGCGTGACTTACTACATTTGGTATGAAGAGTAGCTTAAAGGGGATCTTACTTACGTCCGAAACATTATTTTGGGGAACTACCCTACGTTTCCCTCTAACCCGAGTGGCTTCTACTTCGTAGCCATTGAAAACGGCTATTTTTCGTGCCAAGTTTTGCGATTCGTTCCTTTCCTCTTCTCCTATACACACATCTTTATATGTGTGCACGCGACAAAGGGAAATGGAGGATTCGCTGGCGCCGACTCGAGGCACTTGATGGTCAACGGGCCACAGGTGATTACGATTGTCACTATTCACGCTTGCTATCCTTCATTATTTGGTGTTCGCTATCGTTATTTATTATTACTATTACTATCCGAACAGTAGAGTACACTAGAAATTTGACAGCTTAGCAGGATTATTAAACAGCATTCAACACCTGCAGAGTGTCCATTTCGCTAAAGAAATGAGAGGGTTGGAGAATGAAATGAGCTGTTCACATAAAGCACATGTTTCGGTGTGTTTATTTTGTCATATTTTTCCAGAAATCAATAAGTTTGCAGTTTTTATGATTCAACAGTTACACTTTACAGGCATCAATTAAGAAGTACCTCTTCGACGAAGACTCAATGCTAGAGGCAGACCCTCCGTCGAAACCTGAACGGCATTCAAGTTTGTCCTTTAGTTGAGTAGAAAGAAGTGATTCGGAGCATGGGAAAATGGTCTGCGGTATCAGCGTTAAGGTGCATCTCGGAATACACATCACTACGCACAATAGAGTACAATTAGCAACCACCAATTTCGGAAGCTTCCAAAGGCGGCGAAATGGTTCTTTGTGAATTTGAGGTGTTCGGATGCATTGCCATAGTTTTCGGAAGAATATGATAAAATTCCGAGGTCATGCAGTAGCGCTGGTGTTCGCGGATAAAGCTTTTATTCATGTCCATATCGCACAGCACGATACAGCCATTGTTCTACCGTTCATCATAGTAATGATGGTATCACTTCAATCGATTATGGTAACGGTTACACCTTGCTAATCTATAACCTAGAATTTTGTTTACCGGACCTCTCTCTTAGTGAATGAAAATAGAGTATGCGTTGTGACCCCTAGTGAATCTTCCAGTCTTTCACACCAGAATGAGCAGCTCAAGAAGACTTCGGTTACCTTGGAAGGTGAATAGACTACTTTTCTTGAAAAGTTGCGTTTCTCTTCCCATCAAACCTAGAAATATAAAACCAAATATAACTCGGTAGGCTGTAGTTAAAATGATCCCAAGACGAACTTTAAGTAGACACGCCTAAAACTGGAGCGATTCATTTAGTTATAAAGTGTAACAATAATCGTAATGGTACAAATGTGGCAAGAACTTTACTTAGTGTTTAGTACGTTCTTTGATAACTTATAGAGGAAGACGATGGTAATGTGAAAACCGTATCTAAAATGAACTTACTAAATTTAAGAAATATAACCACAACGTTGCCGAGATATTTGCAAAACTCTGGACCGCAGGTGTCTATGGTGGAGAACGAACGCGCTATTGTCCTTTCCGGGGAGTAGCGCGTTCACCACCACACCATGCAGGTCCTTTGTTTCGCCTGTCTCTCAGCTATTTCTATCGATCTTTGTCACAGCAATCACCCGTCAGCGGGATTGATCGGGGCGCCCAAATCGGCATAGAACCCAGTTTAGCTGCGGCTGTAGTTGAAATCAAAAGTTATACCTTTTTATTTTCTGCCTACTATTATTTTGCGGCAGGGTACTAAGCGAAATACAACCACAACGTTGGTGAGATATTTGCAAAACTCTGGACCGCAGGTGCCGTCCTAAAAGAATCCGTCCTAAAAATGCCAACTGTGCAAATTTCGGAATAATACTGTTTCATGCACACGGGCGCATGTGGTGCAGTTGTCGCGACACACAAGTGGAACCGACCTACGCGCCCATAGCCCACCAAGCCTTCCATCCCTCCGAGTCGGCAAATTGGTACCAGACTTGTCTGGGAGGATAACAGCACTGGCTCGATACATTGGGTGGCCACTGCGATTCATTGTTAAGGCCAGATATGCACTCAATCAGTCCCAACGATACTTAATGAAGTTGAATGCATGGCGTATCCCTCACGGAATGATCAACGCCAACCTAATCTTTTGTCCTTTTACTGTTTCCTGAGCAGATCAGCATTCCCTATCACTTAGAATATCAAAACGCTTCCCTCACATTGTCTCTAGTAGTCTGGTCGACCATCGGTAATTTTTAGTATTCCTTTATACAACAAATTTTCTTCCAATACACGCCTATAACTGTCGTCAAAAGATTGAAGACCATTAGAAACGATTATAAAACAAAACTCTCTGAGATTTTCGCGGAAAATTAAACCATTTAAAGAGAAATAGATTTAGATCAATGCATCTCGTCCAATTGCCACTAAGCGTGCAGTGAAATTTATCCATTTCGACCGTTAAGTGTTAAAGTTAGAGCTACTAACTGTTTTTTTTAGTCATGGAAAACCAGGAACTTTGTATGAAAGCTCGTATTCATTGTACAAGACAAATTGTTATAGTGCAAGATCTGGAAGTGTCTTCTTCAATGCCATTCGTCTTGTGGCTCGATAGACCTAAAATGAATAATTAAACTCAAAAGACCGAAATACTATAACCCTCGGCATAAATAATCGGCATACCTGTATATGCGTTCTTTCGACCTAGCCTTGTTGACTTAACGCGAGGTAGATGTACGTTGCTGTCGTTGTTGTTGCTCGATGGTCGACGTTCCGGCCAATTTGGCTTTTTCAGAGCCTGGACGTACTGTATGTAACACTAAAATTAAAATTCAGGAGAAAAATTTATAATAATTATGATAATGCACAATAATACCTACTTGGATACTTGGGTGGTCAGCCTTCACTGTTGGTTTTGTAGACCCCAGCATAATTTTCATTCTCTGGAGATTGCTAGTTTAGCCATTCTGGTTCACAATAGCACCAACGACAGCTTACCCAAAGCCTGCCCTAGGTCGTCACCACCAAGGACAGTCGCAGTCCTTGTGGATCACAGGAAACTTCACCAGGCGACATAATTGATACCAACACGGTGCTGGATACTGGTATTGGTTTACTCTTAGTTTGGCTTCCTGATGGAAATGCCGCCCTCCTTCTCAGCTTGGGAGGCCCTGCTGTGGGGATGACCACTGTAAATCACAGCCCGACACCAACGAACACCTCTCAGCGACGATGAGGCGGTAAACCGTTGGGAGAATACATAATAATATAACAATTTATAATAAAAATACATAATATAATAACAAGGTTTATAATTTTCATCGAATAACAGGGTTCTTGTTAAACATAACACGTTCAGGCTCTGAAGAAGGAGAGATCGCTGAAGCGTCAGCCACCGAACAACAATAGCACCAACAACAACAACAACAACAAATTACACCTATTTCATTTCAGCTTAAACAAGGTAGTTCGTAAGAACATATACATAACATCATTAAAGCCTTCGCAAATCTTATGCTACGGCTTAAACCACATAATACTATAACCATTTAAAAAACATAACATGCGGCTATTAGTTCATTGCAAAATAACAGATGTATTTGCAGTCTTTACTTACTTATTTGGTACCTGAATGACCCGTCCTCACTGGTTGTGCGGGCCCCAGCATAATCTCCATTTTTCGGAAATTTGCTGGTTAAGCCATTATGGTTCCTTGGAGTCCCGAGGTCAGCCTGGCCAAAGTCTGCCCCAGGTGTTCATCACCACGGGCCGTCGCAGTCCATGTGGATCAGGAGATTTACCACCATGCGACTTTGATACCAGGACGGTGGTTGATCCTGGTATTGGTTTACTCCTAGTTAGGCTTCCTGATGGAAACGCCGGACTCCTTCTCAGCTTGGGAGACCCTGCCAGAGGATGAATCCTCCGCTGTACATCGCACTGCGACACCTAGGAACACCTCCCAGTCACGATGAGGCGGTAAACTGTTGGGAGAATTTGGGAGGGTGATTTGCAGTCTTTAGGGAAAAAAATTGACATCAATATAGAAACTGACCATACAACTGAAAACGTCCTCCAATCAAGTGGTTCACCAAGACGCTCCGTTTCGCTTATGTACAATTATGCGCTGGCGATGCCATGAGAACTTGAAAAAGGATAACATTACTACGACGAATCAACAAGCTGAGCAAAGCAAAAATGTAGAACAATTTAGATGTTCAAGGTCTCAACAAGGCTAATTTTACGTGCACTTTATACATCTCATTATAAGTGGGTGTAGTGTTCCCAGACACTAGTAAGCGAAAAAGTGTATTTTCCGATTTTACGCCCAATTTCAAAAGAGCACTATGAACTAAGATTTCATGGCAGCCTTCATAGTATATTCACCACATCAATAAACCTCGTAGGATCTTCAAAGACCCAAATAGCAAAGTGGTAAGCCTACCTGAAGATAAAGGAAGGGATCAACTTCCTCGCAATGTGCCTCCTTGGACAGACTTTGGAGTAAAGTTAACATTACTCTCATTATTCATTCAATCACATAACGTTACGGGTTCCGAACTTTAACGTTTCACCGTGAGCCACCTATACTATTATGCGAATGCAAACTCATACAAGCCACAGATAGGTTCACTTTTTGAGTCACTTGCGTCCTTGAAGCGACAATCAACAACATAAATACCACAAGTTCTAGAATCCGTTACATGCTCATTAGTGAAACATCCGAAAGCATTAAGATTCATAGTGACGGCGGAACTAGCGTGCAGTCAGCTGTAATTAGCAACTTATTAAAGCTGAAGAGCAAAAATTCTAGCCCGGAATGAAATCGAAGGACGTGGTAAAGCAGAGAAAGAATGCTATTTAATCGGAACATAATTTTATGCTCAAGTTTCGGAAAACAATAGGTGCAGGACGGGCGTATGTAAGCTCTTTAACTTGAATTTATTTAAATTACTTAAGTATGGGAGTGAAATATGGCTATAGAAAGACGTAAATGAACTATGTTTTGATAAAACTATTCCTTATTTTCTAACCATTATCTCCGTTTCATTCCGTTCTTGATCATTGGTGGCCCGAAGAAAGTGACGCTAGTTCACTAGCAATTACTACGATAACCTGAGAGTTAAAATTGATAATCGCACCCGGCGTACAATCCATTTCGCTGGTAAAAGGCAGGAACACACCAACGTGACATCCACGGAAAAATCTTCGTAGTCGAGACCGATTAAGAAGGAGGGTGAGGAAAAGAACTCCGGGCAGAAAACAACCTGAAAAGGAATTCTGTTCAACGGAAAACATTTTAGGGTGAAATGAAAGACAATCCACAGGTATTAAATGATTATGAATAGAAAAACCACACACATACACATACACAGAGTAACTTTCGATGTGTTCCCAAACTGGCAGCTTTTTAATGATTTAGTGTAAAACTACTATGAAATGAAGTTGGCAAATTCACCAATAGTAATAAGAAATCCATATATCAATCTTCGAACTCATAAGGAACCTATTTACCTTCTCTAAGGAAAATTAAGGAAAAAGATATTAAGCACAAGCCCTTTCTTTCATCATCACAGATTCAATTTTTAATGCTCAAAAAATGTGCCGTTCACTAATCGGCGCCATAATATTTCTCCTCCATTCTAACGTATTACGATTATGCAAACTTCTGTAGAGAGCTGAATGTTTTCCTTACGGACTGCCAGCCGTTCATACTTCGAAATCCATGGTTCTTCTGCCAGTTTCACATAATCCCATTTCGTCGCAAACCATCGGTAATGTCTGAGTATGGACGTGGTACGAATAACTAATGTGGTGACATTTAATGAGATAAAGTGTTAGGGGAAAAGAGAGCCTTTCAGGAAGGAAACTGTCGAAAATTTTCTGGATTGAAGATGAGTGTAAGCAGAACTTAAATAAGGCCTCAGTGGTTCAATAAGAAATGCGACAGCATATGATTGATGGCAAAAACTTCTGTGCCAAAGGTATCACTACTCGCAAAGTCATTTATTGCCAGTTAGGAAGCAAACTGATATATATTTTCGCACAAACTTTTTTTTCTTCCTTCCCACGAAACCATACTTCAAAACTCAAGCAATTTTAAACCGTGTTATTGAATTTTACACCATTCAAGTGCATCCGTCTTACATACAGAAGTTGTTCAAACTTCCAATGAAAGCTGAGTGTTTCTTGAGTCCAACAGCACTCGCTAAAAAGGATAAAATAAAGCTCTCGGTGTTGATCAATCCCTGATGGATGCGCCATGCATTCGACTTCATTAAGCATCGTTTGGAGGTGACTGAATGCACATCAGGCCTTTACAATGACTCGCAGTGGCCTACCGATGTAACCAACTGTAGCCAGTGCTGGTATCCTTCCAGACAAGTCTGGTACCAATTTGTCAACCCCTGAGAGATGGATGAGTTGGTGGATCATGGGCGTGGGGAATCATTCTGTGTGTGTTGCAGGCCACCTCCGAAAACAGCGCCACACGGACCTTTTCAGCAGTTACTACAACTTAGAATATTAAAACATTTCTCGTTTTACGCCTTTCGTCATCACGGCGGCCACTGGTGACTTTTAATATCCCTACGATGCATGTGTAAAAAATCTTTCAATGCAAATCTAAAACCGGAGTATAAACACCACAGATTATGAAAAACAAAGACCTATACAAGTGCAAACGGAGCTCTCTTTATCTACGGAACTACTATCAAGCAATTTTATTTCAACAAAGGAATGACTACCTAATCACTAAAGCAGTATTAGCTGTTAAAAAGTAGGATGAGCGACAGGATTCAATTCATCACTGAATCAGGAGAATGTGCCATCAACTACCACATTCCAGACTCTGCTACGCCAGGGTATTGTTTGCCTTAACACATCTGATTCATTATATATGAATTCCGTTCTGAATGACAACAAGACATGCATGAATGAACAGGCCAGTTATTTCGTCACATTTTCCATGTTGTTACATTATTTACTTGGATACCTTGATGCCTCATTCTCACTGATTGTGCGAGTCCGAGCACAATCTCCACTTTTTTGGGGTTTTGCTCGATTAGCCATTGTTGTTCCCTGGAGTTCAGTGGTAAGTCTGGCCAGTCTGCCCTATGTTGTCGCCATCACAGGCAGTCACCGCCCTTATGGATCGGATGGGGATTTGCTGCTATGCAACTAGTTCGATACCACGACGGTGGTGGATGCTAGTATTGGTTTACTCTTAGCTGGGTTTCCTTAGGGAAACGCCGCACTATTTCTCAGCCTAGGAGATCCTGCTGGTGGATAAATCTCTCTCCAACATCACAGACCGACATCCATGAACACGTTTCCGACACGATGAGGCGATAAACCGTTGGGAGGTTTGCTAAGGCCAGACACTCAGCGATGTTGTTACATTGGGAAAAATAATATTGAGAAAAATGAAGAACTGTTCTTCTCATAAAACCATGACCTGATGCCTATAAAGCATTACTGTACGACCAAAATCAGTATACATTTAAACGGTCAAGATTCACCGAGCTGCAATAAGTTGCTGCATTCTCAAAAACATTCTTGATTCCTTGATCCACAACGGTTGACAATTCGGTTGGCTTCGTCTACTTCAAAAAAAAAAAAGAGAAAACTACAAGCTATTGATGAACGATGAGATTAATTCAAGCTAAGTCATTCCAAATGTTATGCATAAAACTACTATTAGGTGAGTTATAAAGGATAAAAGATACAGCCCTTGGTGTTCATCAATCCACAAGCGATGCGCTATGCAATCGACTACACTAGACATCGTCAGAGGCGATTCAAAGCATATCCTTATTACATCGTGGTTTGCGGTAGCCTACCGATGTATCGAGTCTGTTCTACTATGCTCCCAGAAAGCAGTAGTAAAAACTTGCACACCCCGGAGGAAGGGAAGGCTTGGTAAACCATGGAAGCGGAACAGAACTAATGACCTAGTGTGTACCACAGGGCACCTCTGACCACAGCGCTACATTCATCACACTTATGTGAATCGTAACTAACAATTGTAAACAACTACCACTTCATAGGATATAAGTGATTAGGTAGATAGTAAGATAACACTCGGCTTCAAGAAAGATTAGGGGCTATTAGCGGTTTGTGCCAATAATAAAACTCAATAGTCTACACATATAAGAAGCCACTCGAAACAATTTCACTCGACGTTCCGAAAATTGTGAAACCCTATATACTTGAAGTCGAAAGCATAACTTCTCATGTAATAACTTAGTATTTACTCCCATTTCCACAGAAAGGATTGCAAGAGGTTTCAAACACGATCCAAAACACATTTGTTCTTCCACGACGATGACGAACAATAGAAGAACAACAGCGCTAGCACTCACCTTCACTCGATCATGATGATAACTGAATAGCCGTATACGACGTTGCTTGCAGTACTTGACCGTTAGCGCCGTCCAACATATAACGGATATAAAACGATGGATGTGTCCCGCTAAAACGGATAGATCTGCCTCTAGCTTTACATATTTTGTCAACATTTGTAATTCTTCGACTCCTCTACTCTTCTTTGTTTTTCGACATAAAATGCATATGAACGGCACAGCCGATAGACAAGAGCCGTTAATGAATGGATCCCCGGGATCGAAGGAATGACAGGTAATACATGTGACATAATACTTCAATTACAAGGCACCATTATCACCTATAGATCACTAGACACTCTCACCAGCCTACATGAAAAAAAGCATACCCCACACACAGATGTTGACAATATGTCAGCACTAGAAGCCTATGACATCTATTACGTACAGCGCTCACTAGCACGAAACGCCATTCGTTACTTAACGGATGCACGAAAAAACATGCTTTCGCCTGTTCTTCAATTTATATTTTTCCTCTTGCCTACTTGATAATTGAATGGCCCGTCCTCACTGGTAGTGCGGGCCCCAGTTTAACCTAGATTTCGGAGATTTGCTGGTTAAGCCATTGTGGTTCCCTGGAATCCTGAAGTCAGCGTTGCCAAAGTTTGCCCAGGTCTTCACCACCAAAGGCACTCGCAGCCCTTGTGGATCAGAGGAAGATTTGCCACCATGCGATTTTGATACCAGGACGGTGGTGGATCCTGGTATTGGTTTACTCTTAGCTAGGCTTCCTGATGGAAACGCCAGATTCCTTCTCAGCTTGGGAGACCCTGCCAAGGGGAAGAATCCCACCGCTGTATATCGCGGCCGGACCCCCAAAAATACCTCTCAGCCATGATAAAGCGGTAAACCGTTGGCAGGTATATTTTTATACTTTATATATTTTCCGTATATTTTTCCTCACCTTTCGCAAAATCTATTCTAGCTATGAGCTGTCTGAAACGTTTGCAAAATACGTTGGCTTCCAAGAAATCATAACAGAATTAAAGCCGAAACAAATGGAAAAGTTCGATAGAGACTTCCAAGAAGAAAAGAATTACACAAGATTCACACGCATGTTCAGGTTGAGATTTCAGGAATTCTCGATCAACCACAAAATGTAAGATGAACTCGTTGCTAAGAAGACTCCCTCGTCGCGTTCCGATCATTCTCCTTAACCGATAGCTCCAACTCTTAAAATGCTTTTCATCCTGCACTTGTCGACAAAGGAACCATTATATAACGCAGAACAAAAACATGTACTTCACAGAAACTGAGTGTTGTCTTTCCATTGGAACACACAAGTCCTTATGCGTCAAAAACATTACAGAAATTAAATGGTCCTCACCTTGGAGAGGTGGCAACGTAGAGTCCAGAATGACACTTCGATAAATAGAGGCGAATTTTTGACCTGACCACATAAGACCTTGGCATCCAACAGCATCAATGTGTTTGAACGAAAGAAGACCTGCCTACTGAAGGTGGTGGACTGCGATCTGGAGATATCGAAGAACTAGTTGGCAGGGAAGTCGAGTTAACACCTCATTGTGATCATGGGTGGTTTACCTGGAGTATAAAAAAAGCAATGATCCATCCAAAATAATGGTTTCAAAAGCAGGAAAGGGAATACCTGATCCAATCGACGTAGACATGTGACCACAAGAGAAGCTTCGAAATTCGTCAAAAATCAGTCACAAGGGAAACCGAAAGCTCGTTTTAAAACGCCCATTTAAAGGCTGCAATGCATTCCTGCTTGGATGACGCATAAGAAACCAATGTTTGACTACGAAATCTGCAAGCAAAATCTGGCCAAACATGATTCCAAGCCACCATTCGCTCTTTCCACAGCTCTTCCAGTGCTAGCGAATACAACATACTTGTAAACTCACTGCTCTCACTTTCTTCACCAACGTTTTTCAACAGAATGACACATTCGACCTGTGTTCCCCAAGCTTTTCCAGCAACTCCACAAGCTCGTCGATTTGGGAGAGGCGACGTTGCTGGAAGAACCACCAATTCAAAACAGCCGAATTTGGCGGTATTGTTACAGTTGAGGAATGAAATGGCACCTTTTCTTCTGGACTTCTCAGTTATAACGAATCGTCCTTTTCGACCACTTCTAGGGGCGAAGGCGTAGAAGAATTCGCACGGAAGGCTTCGTACGAGACACCGGAAGAATTGCGTTCGACACCATCCGCATTGCCCTTCAGCTCATCTGAAATCAGGAGATGAACGTGTGGAAACGTTCCCAAAGTGATTTGTGACACAAATTTCGGTAGCAACGAAATGAACATCCACCAGCGAGAAATGTCCTGTAGGGTCGAAAACATGGACTGTAGTGAAGAAGGAGTCGAAAACATGGACTGTAGTGAAGAAGGACATGAAAAGCAACTAAGACGCCCTACACAGTAGGTGACATTAACACGTCGGCTTACCAGATAACACTTGTAAACAATGAAAACTTAGTGGGCACTTCACGAACAGACCTTAATATATTAAGGAAATATAAGACAATTCTACCCACTGTTACAACACCAGCGAATTTAATGGAAAAATCAACGACTCTAATGTCTTAATTTAGGATTAAGTTGCGTCCACATTGAGATTGTGAGGATATGAAAAAGCTTGAAGTGAAATCGATGCAAAACTTGGCTGGCGACCGCAAGAGCACGCCGGATGCCAATCGACAGCCAACGGAGAGAATTCTTGCGGTTGCGACTGCGTTGCTCGTCGGTACGCGCTTTTTCAGTGGCAGATGTCACAACAAGAAGAGAGTCTATTCATGTTTATCAAGTAATTCCTTCTTTGTCAGTCACATATGAACCACTTATAAGTTCTGTTAATCAAGCTCAGCAATTCGAATGCCATAAATCATCAGATGACTGGAGTAGGCCCCAGTAAACCTTGCAGTCGTTACGGCTTTTTGTCATCAGACCTTCCCAGTGGGCTTTGCTTGCTCGAAGGACATCATGACATCATGCTTTTCATCTGAGGTTCTTCGCTTTCAACAAATTACCAGAAGAGTAGTGACCGTCGGATATCTGCGCTCTACGGTGTCATAAGTTGGCAACTAGCTGCACTTCGGTATAAAAGTATCGGACTGATCAGGTTGGAAGACATTGCCGGCAGATTCACACTCGTTGTATGTCGTTACACAGCACCGAAGAACATCCCAAACGAACGACGACGAAGCGATAAGTTTCTGGTAGTACGGTCTAATCAACACGTTTTCCCAATTTCCAAGCGCTCATGGGTATCTCTCTTACGGTTTCAACGAAGGAAACTACATTCTCAGCTATTAGGTCCAATCAATACCATTAATATTAGGCGTAATAAATTCCTGCCATTATGGTGGTAAATACTAGATGAAAATCCTCTGATATTAAGAGAATATAAAAAGACAAAATACATGAGAGAAATCGTCTCGCAGCTGTGTTCAGGATTTCAACATGCTTTACCCTCTAGTCAGTGGAAGTCTACCAATTGGTAGAAGACCCTTGAACGAAACGTAAAACATTGGTTTATCAACTGGTTTGTCCCGGAGGATCATTGTGGGATCTAAAAAGGTGAAACTGGTAAGTGCGGGAAACCTCTACTATCTGATGTTCGGTTCTGCCATTCAACAGAAAAAAATGTTTCCGGAAAGTTGTTCAACACATTTTCCTCTGTAGATTGGGCATTTTCTTTTTCAGATAAAGCGGAAAATCCTATTCTTTCAAGAATGCGATGAAATTTCCGAGCTTTGAACAGTTGATTGAGTTGATCTCACTACAAACAGATCACACAGATGCAACACGTGACAGGCGAAGGTGATGAAATTCTGCAATGAAGTAGTGATAATCAGGCGGAACCATGAAGGTTTGTGAACAAATTGTACTTGGTTCACAAAAATTGACTGAATCCAAGAGAAGATGTGCCATTCACTCACTACGGAGGAGGAATTTCGTAACACCGAACGGATTGAAATGTTCGTCGTGCAGTGCCTTTCCAAGGCGGAGGTCCTTAAGCAAACCACTCATTTCTTACATCTGAACACCTCCCAACCTGTAAATGTTTTGTGCGGTTGCTCACTTTGTAGCCATTTCCGGATTTTATCACATTAGTTGTTTCTCTCACTCACGAATTCCTTACTAGTATCAGTTGTTTCGTTCATTAGCAAATATGATGTATTTGTTTCGATGTACCATGTGCGAGGGTCATACTAACGATTTTCTGAGACAGGTCGACTGCATGCGATTGATACGTATTGATTGCAAACTTGGGTCTGCACTCTCTACGGTAACCTGTGATTGTTCGGTTTATAGTGCGTATCAATTTCGCTACTGCTGTAAATTAGTTTCTTCCGTAATGATCTGTGTCTACCTTAACCATATTTTTTAAGGTTTCTGCTATTTGTGTTACTCACAAGGATCGAATACAACATTCTTCCTAAGTTACAGATTTAGACCACTGCCCTCATCATTCCGTCTTTCCATTGCTTTGCTATTAAAGTGAGACTTCAAAATCATGGAACTTCCTAATCTTGACATTATTATTATGCTGATACTCCAAGTAGCAAACCCAAGGCCCACTTTCTCTTGGCCTCGGCCTTGATCAACAATTCACTGTTTCCCTTTATGAGCAAATGCATGGTTGCTGTTTTCGTATTTGTTGACACACTGTGTGGCTAACGTTTCGGCGGTTTCGCTTTCTTCAAAGCCTTGAAAAGTCAAAAAGGTGAAAGCTTGACATGCGAAAGGTGGAAGGTTGACATGCGATCTACTCAGCCAAACACTTTCATAACCTCGGCAGACAGAACTTAACACATAAAGTTACTAGCTGAGAGACAGGCTAGCGAAGGGCCCTCATTGTGTGCTGGTGAACGCGGTAGCCTCCGGAAAGAGTAATAGCGCGTTCATTCTCCACAGCAAACACCTGCTGTCCGGAGTTTTGCAAAAAGCCCAGCATCATAGTGGTTGTATAACACGTAATACCTTGCTATAAAAAATGATAATAGGCAGTAAATAAAAAGTTACCTTTAACACATAAAGTCCATCCGCACAGAGACCTATACGGGTGAGAGATGTGAAGCCGCGAAGACGGCGAAGGCGCCGAAACGTCAGCCCATTGTATTAATAGATACTAAAATAACCATTCTTGTTTGCTCATAAAGGAAAACGGTGATGTTTTCAACGACAGCCTAGATTGTTGAAGAAAACCTCGTCACCGTTTCAAAGTGTGATTGTCAAATATTACTATTGTAGTGACTTGCTAACACTTTCAGATGGACGTCAGCGGTCGCAAGTTGAACAAATGTTGCCAGGAGAAGCCCGTTCTAGACGTGAGTACAGTTATTTTTAGATATCAAGATCATTTCTATCGATTGATACATACAGAAAGAGCTTATCCGGCGACAATTGGCCTCCTGTCCGTTTCCCATAGACAAGGCTGAACTTCAAGTGAGTTTAAGTGTTTCGTACATGATCATAACTATTTTCATCCCCAGATTCATATCGACAGAACTTGGATTGCATTTCACATTACACTCGGCAATGAAAGACTGAAAATAGGCAGCAAATAAGAGTTAGAACATCGTGTAGAGATTTTTGTGGTTGCCCATGCTATACACTTTCTGTGGCCACGTGTATTTCCTCGAACCAATGCCGGATTTTATTACATTTCGACTTCTTTTTAACCTCAAAGATTCCTCACCACTGCCAGTTTTTTTTNTTTTTTTTCGTTCAAACTCAAAACTGACGTCATTTTTTTCGGAGTTTCGTGTGCGAGTGTTACACTAACGATTTGCTGAGGCATCTCGACTGCATGCGGTTGATACGTATTGATTGCAAATTTAAGCCTGCATTCTCCACAGTAACCTGTTATTGTTCGATTTATTGTGTATAACGACCTCGCTACCACTCTAAATTCGTGCATTTCGTCACGAACTCTCTTTGTCTTTACCATATTTTGGAAGTTTCTATGATTTGCATTCCTCACAAGAATCGTACACGGCAGTCCTCCTGGCTATGTCTCCTCAGGCGGTCCTTTTCCCCTAGGTTACAGATTTATATCTCTGCCTCATCTGACCGATCGTAAAACCCTCTCCATTACTGAGATTTTAAAGCCTTAATGTGATTGTGCGCCTACATTGCTCTCTTACTTTGACATTATTACCTTAACCCTTTTATTTATTGCCTATTCTTTTTAACGGTAGGGTATACATTGCGAAGTATAAGTTTAATGATGCTGAGATATTTGCAAAATTCCGGACCTCAGGTGTCTGCGGTGGGGAACGAACGCTATATTACCTTTTCCGGGGGCTACCGCGTTTACTATCACACCATGAGAACCCTTCCTTAGCCCGTCTCTCAGCTACTTCTATTTCGCGTTTCGCGTGTCTCTCAACTAGTTCAATTTCGCGTTTCGCGTGTCTCTCAGCTACTTCTATTTCGCGTTTCGCATGTCTCTCAGCTAGAAACGAAGGACCCGCATGGTATGGTGGTGAACGCGTTACGCTCCGGAAAGGACAATAGCGCGTTCGTTCCCCACCGCAGACACCTGTGGTCCGGAGTTTTGGAAATATCTCAGCATCATTAAAGTTATATTTCGCAATGTATACCCTGCTGTTAAAAAAGAATAGGCAGTCAATAAAACGGTTAAAATTGAGATTATAACTGCAGCCTCAGCTTAACTGCGTTCGTTGACGATTTGGGTTCCCCAGATCAACCCCGCTGACGGGTGATTGCTGATGGTAATAGATCAATAGAACTAGCTGAGAGACACGCGAAACGAAGGACCCGCATGGTGTGGTGGTGAACGCGTTTGACATTATTATTACGTTTCTACCATCATCTTGTTTTACTTGTATAATCGTAATCCTTTTCTTTTCTTATTTTTTTCTCACCATCATATCGAAAGATGCTCATTAATGCAGCAACTTGTAAACATTTTCAGTACCGTGTTCTCTTTACCGAGGTGATGAAATGCTGCAAGGCGAAGGATATGCTGGCGGTGAGTCCATTGGTTTCCATTGTCGCGATCATTTCTATCGACCGAAACAAACAAAGAGAACTTTTACAGCGGCTCTCGACCTTGGACATTTCTTCCGGAGTGAATGCTCATATTAATGTGAGTACACGCATTTTTCATTACCACTATTATTTCTATCGTCAGATTTTTACGGGAAGGGCTTGGGTTGTACTTTACAGAATACTGTGCCATGAGAAAAGGACAGGCAGTAAACAGAAGCCAAAACGACTTGTGGATATTTTGTGTGGCTGTTCATGTTGCTCACATTTCTTGGTAACATGCATTTCGTCGAATAAGTACCAGATTTTACCACTTTTTTCGTCTTTTCATCTCAAGAGTTTTCCACCTGAGCCAGCTGTTTCGTTCGTAGGCAAAAATGATCTCTTTTTCTGGTTCGGAGATCCATGTGTGAGTGTTATACTAACGATTTTCTAAGACGGGTCGACGGCAGGCACCTGATGCGTATTGACTGCTAGTTTTGGTCTGCATTCTATACACGAGGGCGCGTGTAGCGCAGTGCTCAGTGGCGCACAGTAATACTCATAGGATCGATCCTCGCGCTCTAGGCTCACCAATCCTAACCCGCCAGGATCGGCAAACTGGTAAAGCTTAAGCTTATTGTTTGCACCAATTTTGTTGCTGCTATAAATTCGTTTATTTGATCACAATCTGTCTCATTCTTAACCGTATTTTGCAACTTTTCTATGATTTATGCTGGCCACAAGAACCACGTACAGCACAGTCCGTCTGCCTCTGTCTCCACGGGCTGTCCATTTCTCCTAAGCAGCAGATTTAGGTCCCTGTCCTCATCTGTCTGCTTGTAAAAGCCTTTCCACTGTTCTGTTTTCCATGTTCGTTTTCAAAAATTTAATCTGGATGTGTCTCTGCAGAACTCTGTATCCTTGGCAGTACTCTAACTATCTTCGCTTTATTTTGTTTGTATAAAAGTCATCTATTTTCATTCCCACTTTCTTACACTGGTGAAGAAAGCCTCCTTCCCACTTCAGAATCTTATTCTCAAGTCTCGTTATTGTAGCAACGTGAAAGTACTTTCAGTTCGCTCTAATGTCGATCGAATTGATGAGATGTAGCAGAGCGAGGCCTGTAGTAGAAGTGAGTAGAACTATTTTTCCTCACCGTAATCATTTTTATCCACTGACAAATACGGCAAAAACTTTTCCAGCAGCTGCTCGATTTGTGTGAGTCTCCTGTAGATAGTGCTGCTCTTGAAGTGAGTGCAAGTATTTTTCGTTATTACCAATGTTTTTGCCATCGGATTTATATGGGGAGAACTTGGGTTGCATTCCACAGAACACTCCGCCATGAAGAAAGAATGGGCACTCAATAAAGGCGAAAACATCTTGTAGATATCACAATGTGCAACTTTTATCTACTCCCCATTGCTTTTGCATTGGAAGGTATTGTGTGAAATACAGCCACAATAGTGGCACCGTTAGGGTAAAAAGACTGGCTAAGAAAGGGGCAGAATGAGGGCATCAGTGGTGCTGTGTCTAACATGTGGAACTCGAGAAAGGGTGGTCGCGGTTCGATCCCTCCTAGGGCCTAAGTTTTGCGAATATCTCAGCATCATTGTGGTCTTGTAGATATTTTGTACGGTTGGCTATGTTTTTAGCATTTCTTTCCTGCATGCATTGCGTCGTATCAGTACCGGATTTTGCCACATGTTTCGTTTTTCCACCTCAGGAATCTTCCTACAGTGTTAGCTGCTTCGTTTATGGGCAAAAATGATGTTTTTTTCTCCAAAGTTCTGTGCGAGCATTATACTAATGGTTTTCTATGACGTCTCCATGGCTTGCGACTGATGCGTATTGATTGCGATTTTAGACCTGCATTCTTTACAGTGACCGGTGACTGTTCCATTTATTTTGTATACCAGTTTTATTACTGCTGTAAATTCATTCATTTCGTCGCGATCTATTTCTGTCTTAACCATATTTTTGTTTTGTTTTTGTGGTTTTTGTTCTTCATAATAATCGTACACTACAGCACATCTGGCTATCTCTCTTCAAGCTGCCCTGTTTCCTCTGCTAACAGATTTAGACCTCTTCCCACATCTGCCCGCTCTAAAAGCCTTTTCAGTGTTCTGCTAATTAAGTGAGATTTCAAAACTTATCAAGTTGTAATCCTCAAGAACTTTCTAATCTTGGCATTATTATTACCCTTTTAACAACATCTCGTTTATTTGATGTAACAGTCATATACCCTCTTTTTTCTTTTTTTTTTTCTAAAATTAAGAAAGAGGATATCCCCACTTCAAAATCCGGTTCTCAAATATTATTACTGCAGTGATTTGCAGTAACTTTCAGCTAGGATTTGCCTGGTTCGAGCTGTTGAAATATTGCGATCTGAAGTATATATATCAAGTGAGTATGGCTGTTTTTCATTATCGTGGTCATCTTTGTTGACTGAGGCATGCAGCAAGAACTTTTCCAGACGGTGTTGGATTTGTGTATGTCTTCTGAACAGAAGGCCGAAATCGAAGTGAGTACAAGTATTCCTCGTTGTCACAGTTTTTTATCGACTGATCTATGTAGGGAGGACTTTTTAGAAAATAATGATAGAATTGGACTTGTGGAAGAATAAACTGGAACTGGTCAATTATCGTTCTTTATGGCATATTGTTTCAGATGAGTTCGTCCTTGACTTTTTTTCAGGTTGAAAGTCTACCGTCTAGTATTTTTCAGTTGGCTTCATTTAAAAACGTGCAATCATTAGAGAACCTGATTACTGAAGTTGTATATGTAGGCTTGAAGACTTTATATACGTGGTGAAATTTCTGAGCTCAGAACTGACTTCACTCGACGATTTTGAAAAGTGTTCTCACATAAGTTGTAGTCGCTTTACAAAAAAAATCTTAACGTTACTCCTTGTGAAATGGGTGAATTTTTAGACCCGACCTTTTTTGGCCCACCAAAAAATGTTCCTGGTGAAGAAGGAGTGGGCGCTGATGCAGCATCTTCGAGCGATGAGGTTGGACCATCCACGAGTGGGCAAAGTGAAGATGGGATTGACGGCAACAGCCATTATGAAGGCAAAGAGATAGGTAATATACAATGCCAAGCAAGAAAGAACTGAGTGATGCTGTTTGTACGTATGGAGTGCTCGATTGTTCGCTGTTGTCATTTTTTAATGTTGGTTTTCCTTGAAGCTTAGTTTCGTTAATAAAGTGAAGTCTTCTGGAGCGTTTTATCTACCCTTTGGTGCGCAAGAGTAGTCACATGGTTGATATTAAACTAGAAATAACCTAAGAACTCGACAACGTACTTCTCGTTTTGGTAGCCTTCTATGCATTATCCCAAGAGAATGTTTGTGCGGTAGTTCTTTCTCTTCTTTCGGCTTGCCACGTGGGACTCTTTGTAGGTGCCGCTACTCACATTCTCAAACATGAGTTGTTAAATGCTTATAAATAATATTAACACAAAGATGGCAAACGATAGAAGGACAACAAGTATATGCAAAATGTACACAATAGCACAGTTAATAGGCGCGTGCAACATAGTTACGGAGGGACACTTGCGAAACCGAAGAGATTTATACAGTAGATTAATGAGGCACTGTTAGGACATGGAAAGCCATCATAAAAGTACAACTTGTGTGAGGGAAGAGCTCGACAGTTAAAGACTAGTCGTGAGATCAAGGAGCAAGGAGCTGATGCCAATGAAGACGTTGCGAGAACAGCGTATCAAAATGCACTCACAATAACGTAGTGGCTTGTACACTAGATTTATGAAGTATCAAGTATAGGATATAGGCACGTCTTATGGGAATAGTTAGTTCAATAACCGAAATTCCTTTTAAGACATAAAGAAGTAAGGTGACATAAACGATGCATTCAGTATCCAAGCGAATATCGTGGTGTTACTCACGCTTGAATGGGTTGGAGAAGGTCGCATCGTTCATCTGTCACCTGATGCTACCTTGGTTGGTGGTTACGGTTAAGTATTGATGTAAGGCGAGCACGCTGGTTTTGAGTCTCGCAGTTCGAAATACAATGGAGTAGACCACAAGATGCTAAGTTCATACACAATATACGAGCCTTATGAGGAAATAGGGAATATTAGAGAATAGTCGGAATCTCATGTTACTCCGTTGCGAATTATTGTGGCACGTCCACAGGTGGCGGATAGGGGGTTAACCGCCGACCAAAAGCGACCTTTGCATTACTGAAACGCAGGTGGATCCAGGAGATGGACTCCTCGTTTCTGCTGCGCTCATTTGGCACATACTTTCTGTATTTACAAGGCATTTTCATGCGTGCGTGTATGGGTGTGTTCTCGTTTGTGCAGATTATATTCTACGAGTAAATTCGGCCAAAAGCCTGAAATCAAGTGACAGGGAAGTATATTGGTGACGGTTAGGAGTCGCCTCCAACCAATAAGCTCCATGTCCACTCCGGGAGAGCCTGGCAAGCTACCCGTGAGAACACCCAGTTTCCACGCTCAGAGTCCAGTAAGCTATACTTGGGCATCAAAAAGCTAAAAACAGTAAAAAAAACGGGCCTCATTACCCTGACCCGAAAGAGCCTCCAATTCGACAGCGTTGGGTAGGACGAGTGCGAAAAAGCTGCTAAATTCTGAAGACCAGTGGAACCCGACTGGATCGCAAAGAACGAGCGTGACGATCTGTTCCTACAATAGACGTACACTTGCATCCGAGTCTTCGATAGAAGACTTGCTCATGCAGGCAAGAAGGTTAAGATATTACAAAATCGGTTTGGCCGAAACGAGAAGACGTCACCCATTCAGCGCCGTCTATGACACCGGAGAAAAACTGTTCTTTGGAATATGCGACCGTTGAGGAGTCGGCGTTTTCGTCAACACGAGTTTGTCCGTGCACATTGAATCATGCGAATAGCTAACAACCCGAAATGAACCTTTACGATTAAAAAGCCCACCGAAGCTTCGACAATTACAAGACGAGGATGATTGCACTCCGACGCCGAGACGGAACAGTTACAGCGTCCAGAAACGTAATGGAAAAAATCATTCTCGAATACTACTCAGTTCTCTGCGATAGCCACGTCCTCGTTCCTTCATATGAAATAAAGAAGTATCGATATGTCGTAACACTGGTTTTCCCTACCGAAATCCGACATGCTATTTCGTCGGTGAAAAATCGAACAACACCAGGCCCGGACAGGATAAGATCAGAACACCTGCAGAACCTTCCGCCAGCCCTCGTAAACACACTGGCTCGGCCCTTCGTGACCTGTCTGAATGCAAGATCCCTACTCAGTGGAAGACCAGCAAGACAGTGTTATTGTTCAAGAAGGGTGTGCCTACACGATATCGGCAACTATCGTCCAACCTGCCTACTGTCTATCGTATACAAATTTTTCACTCGAGGCATCCTAAACAGGATTGTCAGAACACTGGACGAAGGACAGTCATCTGAGAAAGCAGGGTTTCGAAAAGGATTTAGTAAGATGGACCACATCAACGTGATAACAACACTCATTGACGAATAACAAGCGAGGGCCATCGACTCAGATCATCGGCTCAGAGGAAGACGAAGACGTCGAAACGTTAGCCGAAAATAAACATCATTATAAAACTCGTGTAAGCTCATCAAAGGAAGCATAGATATTGATTAGTGTTACCGAGATCCAAGGAAAGTCGGTTTCGAAATATTACTCATTGAGGTATCGCGAAAATAAAAAAGACTGCTCTGTCTCACTTCCATCGTTTTAAAGAAAGCCTTTGATTCAGTTGAGATAGAAGCAGTCTTGGAAGCTCTTGAAAGTCAAGGAGTCACTACTCAGTACATAAAGATTCTTCATGAACTGCAGAGAAATTTCGAGACCAAGATGTCCCCGCTCTACAACGATATTAACATTGACGTCAGAAGAGAGGTTAGGCAAGGCGACACCATCTCGACGAAATTATTTCTCGCCACCATCCAGAACGTCACGCGAACATTGGAATGGGATAATACGAGAGTGAAAATCGATGGTCGGCAGTATCATCATCTTTGTTTTGCTGATGTTATCGTCCTTATAACACCAAACATTAGCCAAGCGGGACGTATGCTTGACGACTTTGATAGAGCCTGTAGAAAGATTAGTCTTCGACTAATTTCGCATGCTCCATTCACGTTGTACAGAACGAATAATTTCCGAATGCTCCAGTTATGTCTATCTAGGTCGGAAATGAATATGATAAACGACTTAGCTCCAGAGCTGAGCAAAAGGAAACGAGCGGCTTGGGAGCTTTCAAGAGCATTGAGTATGTAGTGAACAGAACAAAGAACACCCGATTCCGTGCCCACCTTTTCGACTCAACGGTGCTTCCTGCCCTAACTTATACATCAGATACCTTGTGGCTGCGTAAGCGGGATGAAGGATCAGCCAGCGTTATTGAACAAGCAGCAGTCGAAAGGACGATGCTAGGAGTATCCCGTGTCACACAAGTAAAGGAAGGGATCCAATACTCCGACATGCGTCAACGATTGAAAGTCAAAGATGCCGTTCTGTACGCCAAACAGTCGAAGATAAGGTGGACTGAACACGTAACGCGTATGAGTGACAACCGATTAACAAGACCCGTTAGTGACTGGATTCCTCGGGATGTTAAACGCATTTCAGGAAGACCACTGACTCGATGGTCAGAGTTTTTCACGAACAGCTTGGTAGAAAGATATGATGCTCGATGAGTTCCTTGAGCGAGCAGAACCCACGGGGCTACTCTTGAACGCGACAAGGAAACATGGAAGATTTACTGGCGCTCTCTGGAGTCACTCGACGATCAACTGGATTACAGGTGATACACGTGAACTACGCGTTCCCACCTTTACCACTAATAAATTTATGGGCAAATTTTGAAATCATGAGCTCCCTAATCTGACATATAGCACGTTTTTGTTCATTCGTAATGTTGGAGTTCAATGTTCTAACTCGACAGTGATTAACCCATAGGGGCCCGTACAGACACTCTAATGTCCATGCCCGGCTCAGTGGGTTCCATGACCGGTGTAGTGGGTTCCAGGGTGGGTTCCCGCACTGTGTAAAAACATTTAATGGCTAAACGACAGCACGTCAATAAAGTGGGGGTGTGGCCAGGAAAGCCATTGTCTCCTGAATTAGCTTAGAAACACCCTGCCGGACTAGCTCACTTTGCGGTGATAAACTCTAAAATATGACGTTTCGAAAAATACGCTGTACATAAGGGATGTTATTTAATAATATGTAGCTGACGCCAGAAAAACTACAAGTGAGGTCTAGGAAGCGCTAGACGTCAACATAGTATTTGGTCACTGACGTGATTTATCGAGTTGCAAGTTTCGGAAGAATTGTCAACCTTTGCCTTCATAAATTTTGACAAGTGTTTTTGAAAGTGGTGCTCAAATCCACTTATATGGTCATCGGAAACCTTCACAATTTACCAGGCTATTCTTTCACATAGATCGAGGGTTTGGTTCGGCTGGTGAGATCGAATTAAACAGCATACCACTAGCATACGAAGAAAACTCATGTTTTTCGATCAGAATCAGATGCTGGATGTGTTGGTGTGAGCAACAAATGGTTCTGCCGCCCACTTTGTTCGTCAAGTAAGCGGTTAATATTCTTGAGATGTTCACTAATTCGCTAAAGTGAATCGGCCTCGAAGGATCGGGGAACTTCCTTCGTTTGTTTCATTTTTTGCAACCACAAATGTGGTTCATCTGCTACAAGAAGTTGACTTTGAGCATATGGAGTGCTCTATCCTCAGCGACATTTCGAAATAATTTGTTATTGAACGGAATCTTCCCTCCCTCACAGATACTAGTCGGCTCTGACGATTTGATTTTCTTCCGGAAGATCACTGGAAGGATTTAACGCATTAGGTACCGCATGCGTTGTCCTATCCAATGGAACATGATAGAAGAATACGTGTAGGCTCAATGAAATCCAAAGACCATGAGAATTTTTACTTCGCAAACTACAACATAAACACATAACGCCTTCTCATACGCCACCATCGATGGACAATGAGCAATCGGAAAACAACAATAACTTCGTTACAGTTGTGTCATGAAGTTGTCAACCGAGATTAGGTGCATATGGTAGCAGTAGATCCTCACTTCACCCAGAAAACATTACGTGACTACGTGGGAGAAAGAGCAAATGGGGAAAAACTACGAAAAATAAGGAACCGTGAGAACTATTGGAAGCGAGGATTTAAATACTCAACAGTTCCTTTAGCAAGCACATGTCACATTGTCCTCCGCATTTCCACCTTCTGCTATTGATTGAAGGCGATTCTCAGCTCTAGAAATTTCAGTCGTTAAAACGGAAAACTACTATGAAAGAAGACCACGACGATGGACAACAAAGAATGACGATAAAGGAACAAGAGAGAAGATAAAAAACTGGATAATGAAGTAATACAAAGTGCTTACAGTGAAGTCAGAAATTTCTCCATTGAACTCAGGACATGCTTCTCTACACCATTGTCTTCAGAAACGTCGCCATCATTATTAACAAGCGAGAGTTCATGGCAGGCTCAGTCGAATTCATTAGTTCCAGCTATACTTCGACTCTATAGAATTCAATCGCTGACTAGCTTAAAAGAGTAAACAAGGATCTTAGAATGTTGGAAACATTTGACGTATCACATCAAAACACTTAACTCATGAACAACATAGATGAAGCGGTTTTCAATGAAGTTTCATAAACAATGTGTAAACGAGCTCTAACAGTGATTACTACCAACTATTCTATTCTATTCATGGCCTTGCACGAGGTTGAAAACAACACTGTGAATGCAGGACACGAATCGTTGCAGGTCTGAGAGCTCAAGTAGGCCGAAACATCACAATAAACAGCTCATATCCACCTCGAACAAGCTCATCAATAGGAAAAAGCACTGGCTATTCATACTGAAGTTAAATGGAAGCTGTTAATTGAGAAATACTTTTAACTATACAACCACAATGGTGCTAAGATATTTGCAAAACTCCGGACCGCAGGTGTCTGTGGTGGGGAACGAACGCGCTATTACCTTTTCCGGGGGCTACCGCGTTTACCAGCACACCATGAGGGTCCTTTGCTAGCCTGCCTCTCAGCTAGTTTTCTACCGATCAGCGCCACCAGCAATCAACCGTCAACGGGATTGATCTTGGCAGCCCAAATCGGCATCGAACCCAGTTAAGCTGTTATACTAGTTATTTTGTGGAAATATTAACAGCGATGACATAGCTGTTCTTAAGACCAAGTACCCTGTACTAGAAAAACGAAAATCAAATTGGTTACCAAGCCTTAGCTATGTATTTACATTCGTCATCTTTCGTTGTCGAAGTGAAATAGTTTACCGTACAGAAACAATGCTCAGCGGTTGCGATGCTTCTGCTTCATAAACTATGCTGGGAGCCGTAAGAGATTTTACTAATAACAACGTTGAAAACACCACAGTTTACGCACGGAAATGTTGACGGGGATAAGCTGATAGGTGGTGAAGGCGCAGGTGGTCAAATGATGCGATGCACCGGTGCTGGATTTCCGATGATAATCAGTTCGGAGTTAACCAACATCGCCTGTTTGTACATACTGAGCGTGGTTATAACTGCCATTTAGGCCATCGTGCAAAAGAACGGAACAGATATGGAAAAATAGAAATATGAGTCATTGAAACCTCTATCTCTTGAAAATGCGAACAAATTCATCGGTCTCTGTTGCCATATGAGAATTGTTCCACCACTAAAGCTGAGAAGAGAAGTAGTGATTATTGGAATACACGTTATACTTCTAAACCCGATCCTTTTGGTTTTAAAGCGGTGAGAAAAATATATTTTAAAACCTTCTAGTTCCGTTCTAATTTGGTTGGTCCACAATGCATGCAATGAGGTTCATGAACAATCTGTTCGATTGAATGCGACAGCTGTTCAGAATTAATTGACGACGAAGTGTTTCTCAGTGTGACAGACTGCTCAAGAAGAAAACATATCTGAATGGAATATGCAGTAGAATCAAAAACGTTGTTCTTAAGCTGGCTATCCAGCAGATGATGAAGAGAGGGCAACTGAACGAACGAATTAACAGGCGCAAAATCGTAATAAGTGAAAAGATAAGTGGGGCATTAACATTATGCCTATAGCACACTGTCAACCTCTCGCCATACCACCGAACCCACAAAACGTGCAAAGGATTTCGGTAAAGCAATTCAAAATTTACGCATATTACGGTAAGTAGGCTACATTCACCTTCAGTTGCCTACGTACTATACCAAACACGTATAGTACCTATTGATAAGTGCCCATTATAAGGACGCATAGAACTTCTACTTAGTACAAGCATGTCCTTAAAGTTTCTTCTATAATTGATCATTTTAATGAGATGAAGCATCCCAGTTTTCGAAAATGGAGGTAGATGTAGAACAGACATGCTATTAGACGCCCTGCGGGATTCATAGAAGAAATTGTGCTTATCCGAAGTTTTATCTAGATTACTAAACCTGTGAAAGAGATTCTATGGGCAACGCTTGGCAAAATAACTCCATTATATAAGCAGCCATTTAAATACGAAAAATACAGCCAAAACTGTTTATGCCAAAATAAAGGGAAGCTTGTAAGATAAAGGCCACTTTGCCTTACTTATGCAAAGATAGTGCACAAATAGTAAGCAAACAGTGGGTCAAAGAAATTAGTATGGTAAAACAAGAAGATGGAACTTCGTCAAATGAAACTACATTCTGTACATATTTAACGGCCCCACACTCTAAATTCGCTCGAGTAAAACAATCATATTTACCTAAGAAACACTTCAGGTTAGGCACGAATGGAGCATAATCTACCAAAACCTGAGAAAGTATCGCAAACAACTGAGAAATACAGTAGGGCAGAAGTCGTCATGCGGTAAGAAAGAATCCAGTCTTTTCATTGTGATGGAACAAGTTTACACTAGCTTTGTTAATAAAGAAATGTAGGTCAGAAGATTCTTCGCGGGAACTAATAGAATTTTCCACAAATTAAAACATGTGCAAAACAATAAATGAAAGAGCGCTGCCGGGTGGGATTGTCTCATTCGAGTGGTCCACTGAAAAAAGTCCGTCTCTCTACAACGATGAAGATGCTATGTCGAGAACCGATGATAAGCCGGACAAATCTATTTATCAACCTCATGCTAGCTTAACAATCCAGTAAAGTGAAATATGCTGCTTTCAGATTTCAGAGAAAAATTTATCCATATGCACGTCATCTATCTGTGGGTTAGATGGTCTTCAAACGGTCAGATATATGCGAAAGTAGGAAAATCCTTGC